AGACAGGATGGATAGCAGAAGAGTGAAAAAAAAAAAAAAAAACCAAAAAACCCAAAACCTTGAAAGCGCCGAAGATGAGAGTGGACACAGTGCTTAATGAAAATACCCCCGTGGAATCCGTCAGAACCAGTTCTGTGCAGCGCAGCCTGAACATAATCCTGAGCTGCCCTCTAAGTGCTGGGAATGCGTACAGTCATCATGTGAGTTGTGCGTGCCCGGAGGCTGGGAGGGAGATTAGATTTTCTAGGCAAGCTATCTTTCACATTTTAACAAAGAGGGAGCCTCATAATATACCGCCTTCAGTGTTCAGCAGCTCCTAAATCTGACCACAGATGATGCACTGCGTAGCTTTATGTCAACTTAACAGAAGCTGGAGTCACCGGGGAGGAGGGAACCACAACAGAGAAAATTCCTCTATAACACTGGGCTAAAGGCATGCCTGCAGCGCCTTTTCTTAGTGGCTGATGGGAGAGGACCCGGTCTAGTCCAGGTGGGGCTGGTACTCCTGAGTTCAATAAGAAAACAGGTTGAGCAAGTCAGGGAGAGCAAGCCAGTAAGCAGCACCCCTCCGTGGCCTCTGTATCAGTTCCTGCCTCCAGGTCCCTTCCCTGTGTGAGTTCCTGTCCTGACTTCATTCAGTGATGAACAGGGATGTAGAAGCCAGAAAAACCGTTCCCTCCTCAAGTTGCTTTGGTCATAGTGTGTTTCATCACAGCAGTGATAGCTAGGACAGATGATATCTGCGGAAGAGATAAGGAGACAGATTCAGAGAGGCTAAGCCCTTTTGCCCAGCCCAGCTTCTGCTGGTGGCGGTGGAGCCAGACTCTGCAGTGAACACTGGCTCTGAACCACTGCTTTTCCTCTCTTAGGACTGCTTAGCAAACTGCCAAGGAGACTACCGCACCTGCTTCTCCACCCCCAGCGGTGCTGCCTCTGCCTTCAAAGCTTCACTCATGCTGTTCCTCTCAGGCATGGCCTCCATTTACCAGCATGTCTCTCAGTCCATAGCTGAAGGCCTAGTGTCGTGTCCTTGTGCTGACCTCACTTGCCATCGGCTTGGTGTTCGTGGAATGAATGTGTGGGCCCTCGCTGTGCTGTGACATCACTCTGTCTCTTCCGGGAGGCCAGTGCAGACTGAGAGCTTATTTAGCACAAGGCTCCCCCTGTCCCTAGGCGCCTTGCCCTGAGAGGGTGCTTAAAAAATATTTGATGGGCAAAAAGAGTGACTGATGATGTAAGAAGGTTGTAGACAGAAAGACAAGGCCTAGGGATACTAGGTTAGAACACAGGGAGGCTCAGTAGATCTTGGAGTAGGACCCAGGAGCATATTTAAATGAACAGGAGTTAGACTGACTGACCCAAGGCCTGTCTGGTTCAGTGTTTTAAACAGTCTTCCAAGGAGCCGAAGCTTCTCTCCATGGGAAGTACAGATGTCTTATGGGAATCCCCCACTTTTATTCCGTAAGGCCTTACAGAGCACAGCATGTGCTCGGACAACTTCCCATACTCTACTACCTGCGTGCTGTAGACATGGCACGAATGCTGGACCAATGCCCACAGCAAGTGTAGATTCCAAGGGTGTGTTTCCTTTAGTGTCTGTGACAGTGTGGGCACCCTAGGTAAAATATCTCACCATTCATTTGCTGATACCTCTGCCGTATCATCTGAAGGTTTTTCAAATAACTCGCAAGCCGTGCCATGTTTTCCAAAGAAGACACAGTCAACAATGGTGACTGAAAATGTCCTACTTTAAGTTTTATACGTGACATGTTGAGAATTCACACCATTAATTATTAAAAACTGCAGAAGCTAGAGACTAATTTACAAAGGCCCAGAGAGGTGTTTGCTTGTTATTTGTCATCGTACAGAAAACAAACGGAAAGCTACCCGTGGCCTCTTCTTCTCTTGGCATAAAGAGGAAGAGTAGAACTCGCTAGGGCCAGCACAAAGCGAAAGTGGACTCCACCAGCTGCTGGTCTGAGCTTCCTACCCGCTGCTTTTCTCCCTCCTGGCTGCAGGGCTGCAGGTGCCAGTCAACCCGCCTCCTTTTAGGAAAAGTTCTATGCTTTTTTTTTTTTTTATCAAATTGAAAGGAGCATTTAAGGGGCTTTTCTGATAGATACTCTTCCACCCAGTGGGGACAGTAGTCTTGCACCAGGGCATTCATGATACTCTAAGCATCAGATATGACTAGGAGCATGTCCATGAGTATGGTAAGAGACCATTATTGTTTCCGAGCAAGAATTCAACAATGGCATATATTGGAAGTTGAATTTAAGAGTCATTTTCTTTCTTTGTATTTTAATTTTACTTAATGCATATGGGGGTTTTGCCTGCAAGTATGTTCATGTACCACTTGTATGGCTGGTGCCCACAGAATCCAAAGAACATTCGTTTCCTTAGAGCTGGGGTCACAGATGGTTGTGTGTCACCATGTGGGTGCTGGGAACCAAATCTAATCCCATGGAAGAGCAGCCATTGTTCTTAATCACCGAGCAATTAATTTCTCCAGCCTAACTATCTTCCTATTTTAAAGTAGTATCATCAACTCTCTTCATCTTCTCTCTTTCTCCTTCTGTCTGGGCTATCTCAGACCCACAGGATGGTATTCCTTTTAGACTTCCCTAGATATCTTTGGGGAGTCTTGTTGCAGGTGGCAAGAATCCCATTCATATCAACTTAAGAAAGTAGAATTTGATTCATGTACCGAAATACCAAAATGTAAAGAGAGGGTGTCGTTCTGGTTGAAGAAAGATAGCCACCATTGATCCCGCCCTCTCATTTCTGTCTTTGCCTGATTGTATCGAATTCTCTCCATCTCCCATCATCCTCTAAATTGAGGCTTTGACTGTATCTTGGGTTAAATTGGAACAGCCTGAACAAGGCTGCTGATTGGTCAGTTTGGACCACATGATCTAGGCAGCTATAATATGGAAATTGCCATCTCTTGGGATACCTCCTTAAATAACATGCAGGGGGCAAATCACCTCACTCTCTGAACTTCTCGTTTTTTATTTTTAAAGTAAGGGGGATGTAGCCAGCTCCATACTCTGAGTTTTGTTCTGGTCCTATTTAAAAATATCACTTCTTTATTTTAATCCTTGTACCTTTTTCTCTCTTGCACATCCAACCATCCACCAGAAGAGCAAATAACACGGGAAACTGTTACCCCACTGGCTGCACTCCAAGGCTCCGAAATGGAGAGAGGGTCACCTCTGGGAGCAAAGCACAATAATTCAGTCCTGACCAGATTTAGCCATTGATCATGCTTCATGGCATGAAATGTTTAGAATTTCAAAACTTGTCAAGCATCCCAAATTAACAATCTTGCCTGAGAAGAAAAGCAGACGCAGCTAAAGGTCATCTGGAACGTGTCCTATCTCATTATCCTTGGAGCACGAAGTGATGCTTAGATGGTTGGTTCTGATTTAGTTGTAGCCCAGGTTCAGAGCTGCTGATGTGTGGAGGTGTTCCGGGTCCGTTGTCTGAGTGTACACCAGCAGATCACCCCTTCTTCCTCTAAAGATGATATCCACAGTGTCTGGAATAAAATGTCTCTTCCTGCCAACACAGCCTCACTATCCATCCTTTTCATAATTCCTCCTTGATGATCTTGGGCCTTGTCCCTATCTCTCATTAGACTGTTAGTTCCCAGAAGGCAGAGTCTGTATCTGAGTGCTATTTTGGGTTCAACATCAAGTCTGTAGTATAGCCACCATGCTTGCTCCCTTGGGATGCTTCTAGATGTGTATGTCTCGCAAGTCATCAATTTTCCCTGTTCCTTTGTATGTACAGTACTCACGTCCTATTCTTTTCTATTGGAGGGAGGAATAAATGAGATGGTGCATAACAAAGTACTTAGCACCATATTCATCATAAAGTAGACACACATATTTAGTTTTTTTTAAATATTTTTTAAATTTCTAAACAGCTCTAAGGAAGGAAGGGTAGCCTCTGAAGTGGTAAAGTGTTTACAAACTTGAGACCAAATTTCAGCTCTTCTACATACCAAGCTTCTGTGATTGGTATGTGATTAATGTTAAACTCGTTTCTTAATGTTCTGCAGCTTAAGTGTCTTTGCAGAGTTGAAGTGCTGGTAATATTTGCTTGTAGATTTAAGTGGGTAAAGGAAGAGATGTGGCACACACCCGTATAAAATGTCTCTCAGGGCATCAGGGACTCGGCACGTACTCGGTATAAAGTAACATTTGTTCTCATGTGTAACGGAGGATGAAGGGCAGTGGTAAGATTACAAGCCCTTTGGATCTCTTTGGCTCCTCTGACCTTCTTTTTTTTTTTGCTTTATGTATTTTGTTGAAGATGAATCTGTGTTAATAGAGGCGACGGTTAATGGCCTCTTGTGAACTAGACCTGTCCAGAGGGATAAATTACCATGATCTTTTTTTTTCTTGAAGTTTCCAATGTTGTATGTCTGCTTTAATATAACGAACCCCCTGGCTAGTTGCTGACTCAAAGAGAAAGAGTACATGCCCACTTCCAATTGCATAACCTGTGTGAACACACTCAGGCCCTAACAACATGGGGAAGAGGTCTGGGAGGTGTGGGTAGCTATACACATCCATTTGCATCGGTGCCAACCAAACCTCACAGTTAATTGTATCACAACGGTTTTCTCCTGGAAGAAGCGATTAACATGCAGACTTCTAGCTGCGGTTTGGCCTTTGCTCCCTTCTGACTCTTGTGTCTGTACTGTTTATAGTGTTTTGTCAGTACTGTCACTTAACATGGAGAGCAAATAGGCACGCTCCCCTGCCTGTCTCTCTGACCCAGTCCGTTTTCTTCCATGTGGTTCCCACAGCGTAAGAGAAAATAGAACTTTACATAACGGAAGTCTGTCTTTTAGGAAAGCACACTCAAGACTTGGTCTAGAGGTCACACTGTGCACGGTGGGGGGGGGGAGTAAGGAGCTTTTGACATGGAGTCTTTTCTGAGATGGAAAGTTTAGCCTAGGAGTATAATGACCTTCCTCTCTTTGACAGGTAATGCAGGTGGTGAAGGAGCAGGTTATGAGAGCGCTGACAACCAAGCCTAGCTCCCTGGACCAGTTCAAGAGCAAACTGCAGAACCTGAGCTACACTGAAATCCTGAAAATCCGCCAGTCTGAGAGGATGAACCAGGAAGATTTCCAGTCTCGCCCGATTTTGTGAGTTACCCACCTCTGTCCTCCGTCACTGCTACTGACCCCTAGTGATCTCGTGATGTAACTGCAGGACTAGTGGCGAGCTCATTGAGTCAGCAAAAGACCTTCCAAAATGATAGCCTGTAAGGGAGGCCTTTTGGTAACTACCTGGAGTGGAACTTGTGGAGGGGGGGGGGGCGGCAGCTGTTTCAGATGATCCCTCGGGGATCTGTAGCTAAAATACACTTGTCTTCTTCCACATTTAGAATCTAAACAATGGTGTGTGTATAGGGGGTGTCTTCTGTTTTCTCGTATGAAACGGTATGTCACACCTTTGAGTTGCAAGTGTTATGCTATCCAGAGAGAGGTTCACCAATCATTAAAGCCTTGAGAATCCTGAGATAGCCTAAGTTCCAGTGAGAGCTGTAGAGGTGAGGGACAAGCCCACTGTACCCCTAGGAGATGGCCAGCGATTGGCCTCCAAGCATCCCCTGTCACCTTTATGACTGCAAACCAATGGGCTCCAGGTGGGGAAACAGCAGGGCCCCTTTACAGGGCTTTGCATTAAATGTCACTGGCAACCCTTTCAAAGCCTCACGCATCTGCATCCCTAAAATGCTCTGAATCTGGGAAACAAGAATTCCTTTGCTCGCATCATCTCTTCTGAGACCTGACCTGTTTTTCTCTGCTAAGAACCAGATTAGATTCATCGCTTTTATATTTTATAGAAAAGGACACAGGAGTAAGGTGGGAAGCAGGGAAGAGACTTGCCAGTTATTCATTCCTACTCTGTAATCAAAAGACCAGCAGTGACTTCTGGGATTTTGTATTCATTATGTACTACTATTTGTTCTCTCTCTCTCTCTCTCTCTCTCTCTCTCTCTCTCTCTCTCTCTCTCTCTCCTCTTTCTGTGTGTCTCTCTCTCTGTGTTTTTTGATTCCATATACATGATACTTTTTAATGGATGACAACTCACAAAGTATCCTTTATTCTAGTTCATTTCCTCACATCCTTGAGGTAGGCACACGTGTTAATCCCAAAGAGGTGGAAGTAGCCTAGGAAAGAACCTGGCCTTGAAACTACTTAACTCCCAGCTACTGCTTCGTCAGGCTGGCTCTGCATGTGCAATGCTGAAAGTAAGTTAAGCAGGTTAGAAAAGCCAGGTGGTGACACGGACGATTTGCTTCCAAACACCACTAGAAACTGCATTAAAGCTATAGACTTCGGTGGGCATGAAGTTCATCCGCAGGGGACAGAAAATGCTTCTAGGGGGCTTGGTTCACATCACTCTAAACCCTAAGACATGCCGTAATACGTCTAATACTGGCTCTTATAACAGACCCAGCTGAATTTTTTTTTTCTTTTTGATCCTCAGCCAGGAGATAGTCATAGTTAGAAATACCAAAACAGAGTCGTTGGAGTGACCAGCTAGCGCCTGGGAGATGCTGTTTCTTATCTGTGAGGAGGAAGTGTGGCGCCTCACCCTTTTTGGCCCTACCTTCACAAAATGCTGGATTTTAAGTCAGCAGTTCCAACAAATGTGCAAACAGAAGGACGCTTTATTATGCTTTTGACAATTCTTAACACCTAAATGGAAGATTGGAGAGTCGATTAAGTGAAGGCCAAGTGGTTCTAAATTGCTGCCACTCCAGCAAAGCAAGTGACTCTAAGTCAGTGCTTGGCCGTGACTGTCCCAGGGGAGAATGTCATTCTCAGCCCTGCCCAGGGTGGACGCTACCCTACTCTGCCTTTCTTTCTTTACTTGCAAGACTCTGCCACCGTGCTGGAGTTTCCTTTTCCTTTATTACAAGAAGCTCTCACCTTGATGTTTCTTGAGTGGGGAGACACAATGCCAGTAGAAAGACTATGCCCTGCACGGGCGTGACTTTGTTAACACTCTTGTCCAGGAGACTAGAAAGCACCAGGCCTCACGGGAACTTTTGGTATATATAACTGTGAAACCAAGACACGAGGAGGACCCTTAGGTTTAAACAAGGAGGTGACAGGTGACGGGCCAGCCTGTAGCCACACCCTCTGAAACCAGCAGGCAGGAAGCAGGATATGGTCTATCCACTGGGTATCTGCTTTGTCTGTTACTGTGATCTTCTAGACGGGAGCTCATTGTGGGAGTCGTTGAAGTGGAAGTGTTGCCAGCGTGACTCATGATAAGCAAAGTCACCCAAGAGGAGGATCATGCATGCTTATTCTTTTTGTTGTTGTTGTTGTTTTATTAGTTTAACAAATAATAGGCAATCACCCCCTGGTGGCTCAGCCCAAGGTGCTGAGAAGCATTAGGTGCCTCAGTATCCAATCTTAAAAAGTTGGGGGGTGGGGAGAACTCATCTCAGACTGCTCGGTATTCAGTTACAGGAAGCACATCTAGATTTTGAAAAAGACCCCGATACTGCATCTATTCAAGCTCAGTGGTTAGGACGCCCGAGTGGGAGAGCTAGAAGCCACTATTAAGGCTGCCTAGTTCAAACCTTTTACTCCACAAACACGGTCAGCAGCCTGGCTGCAGCTGAGCACGTGGCCTTCCACTGGCTTTCTAGCTTCTCCAGCTCCGTAGCACTCTCTCCCTCCCACGACCGCCTGCACATCACACATCACACAGTGGCAAACCTCAGCTGGCGCAAACTCCATCTGCTGCATTTGATAAAAATGGTGATGGATCCCAAGAAGGAAAAAGTTAGCACCACGTGAAGAAATGTTTGGGGAACAGCAGCCCTGGCTTACGTCCTGGTTCTGATGAACGATTTCAAAGAGGGCATGCTTTTGATTTGCCACTTGACAGAGAAGATAAGTTCCTCCTCGTTATTGGTACAGGCTAACAGAGATAAACAGCTTAAATAGTCCAGAAGTGGGTCATTTAGTTGGAAGAAGAGAAGAGACAACAGCAAAGCAGTAAAGCAGGCAGGGAAAATGTGCTGCAGCTGGAGTTCTGAGACCAGTTCTAATTTCAGTGCAGCCCTTTGCAGATGTGCCTTCTGCAGAAGTCGCATCGTCCCTTCTAAGCCTGCCTTTCCCTGCTCTGGGGAATGAAAACAGTGAAAGCCCTCACAACATTAAGCTGCTACAAGGGTCCAAAACAATAGCGTAGGAAACCGATCAGCGCATGCTCAGCTTATGATATGCACTGAATAAATGATTACTCTTATTACAAAACACAGAATGTAACGAGTTGTGCCTTTAGTAGTATACGAAATGGGAACCCTGGTGCTGGTGTATTTGTATACTTCCCACATTGTCTAAGAATGTACAAGAGAAATAAATGAAAAAGAAAATGTTTTCTTAAAGAGTGAGAAACAAAGCTGATGCATACATATTGCCAGCGGCAGCTTTCCTAAAGACCAGCCTGCCAGCCTACTGTTGCGCTCAAAGCCTATTCCAGTAGGTTTGTCTATATAGGTATACCATGTTCAGTGTTCAAACATCTGACAGATATTTATCAGTGTCTGATACAAGCTGGTCAGTGTTCTTTATGCTTACGATTCAGCAATGAATAGAACGTATATAGCCCTAACCCTTGTGGTGTTAAATCTTAGAGGGGGAAAATAGATGATATACATGCATGATTTTATATATATATATATATATATATATATATATATATGTATATATATATAATACATGTAAGGTGACAGAAAGTTAAGTGGTGATAGAATGTCTCCATAGGGCACGATAAAAGAAATGAAGTATATTTTTAGAGATGGTAAAACTAGATACCTTTAGTTATAATGATGACATATGAAGGAAGCTTGTATTAGGGATTCAGAGAGCATGTGTGTAGATATTTGGGTAAGGGGCACTCCAAGCAGGAAGGATTACTTGTGAAAGCATCCTGCGGTCACAGTAGATCTGAGTTTTCAGTTAACCATGAGGTACAGTGGCAGCATCAGAACACGTGAGGACAGCAGCAACAGGAAGTGACCCCAAGACGATATCTAGAACACAGGGCTTTGGTGGAAGCCATTCGGGGTTTGGTGGATGACTAGCATGGATTTCTGTGTTAGAAACACTCTAAGGAGGCACATTTGGAAGCAAGAAGGCCGGTTAGGGGGCTGTTTTAATGATTTAAGCAAGAGATAATAAGATTAGTTTTTGCTCTACATTAATTATATTTTGGCAAGAAGGAAAGATGATATTTCCTGGTGGATGGGCTGTTGTTGTACTTGTATAAAGAGAAGAATCATGGATGGGCTCCGGATGTGGGACCCAAACAACTAAAGGGCAGCGCTTTGGGGTGGAGTGATGTGGGCCAGGGTTCAGGAGTTCAGCACTAAATATGCCAGTCTGTGGGATGCCCAGGGAGGTGGCCAGGCAGGTGAGTTTGGAGGTCAGCAGGTGGGTCTAGGTTGGAAATACAAATTCGAGAGCTGTCAGAATGAAAATGGTAATGAAAGCCACGGGTCTGTTTATTTAAGGAACAGAAGTAGTCCAGGGAATGGGCCCTGATGTTCTCCAGAACTGAGACAGCAAAAGATCCGTGTCCATGAAAGTGCCATTGTCACTCAGTCTGAAGCGTCTGGAGGGCCCTCCTAGTTTAGAGGTTCTTGAGCAGTAGTTTCTGAACCAAATCTTCCCACTCCTGATTTCTGTAAATGAATTTTATTAAAATTAAGCCACATTCATTGAGGGTTTTTTGTCAGTCTAAAAGCCCACAAAGCCTAAAACATTTACTATCTGATGCTTTATAGAGAATATTTGCCAAACCAATGGGGAGTGGTGACTCAGCTGGGCAGACTCCAGGCTAAGAGTTGACTTCAGTCTAGAGGTTCTGAATGTCTTCTGTGTACTGCGCTGGCCTTGCTGAGCCTGGATTAGAATTGTTTTCCGGAGTAGGTACTAGACCAGCAGTCCTCAACCTGTGAGTTGCTACCCCTCTCACAGGGGTTGCCTAAGATCATCAGAAATATCAGCTATTTACAATTCATAACAGTTGTAAAATTACAGTTATGAAATAGCAATGAAAATAACTTTATGATTTTGGGTTATATCACAAGAGGAACTGTGGTAAGGGTCGCAGCATAAGAAGGTCGAGAACCAGTGTACTAGACTGAACTGCTTTGCACAAACTCATTTACCATCCCTCCTTTGAGCTTTCTCCTTCATTTACATGTCAGCCAGTGAACCCATGGCCCCAGCCTCAGTGACTACAAGTCAAATATTTCAGAGCGGGGTTACAGCTAGAGTCTTCTTATCTGTCATGCCTAAGAGGTCATGTCTCAGTCACAGAAACAGATTGTAAGGGTGTCTGGGCTTTCTTGGTGCCATGAATACATGGCAGCCAAGTCTAGTTGCAAGGAAACAGAAGTCAAAAAATAATGTTGAAGGGGCTTTTTAATTTCCCTTTGTCCAATCATGTTTGGAGTCTTCAGAATTTCATTAAGAAGGGAGACAGACTCTTGTATAAATCCTCGTGGGAAAAAAAAAGATTCACTTCTTTTAGTACATCTAATGGATTTGGTCAAGACATGTGTGATGATAAGAATATTCAAATTTCACCAAAACATCATGAAACATCCATTAGAATTTCTCGAAATTTCCTCTTCATGATTCTCATCTCTGCATTTTAATACCTTAAGCCTAACCTATCAAAACTATCCTCAAAATTGTTGAGTTCCAAACCTCTTCCTCCCTTCCTCTCCCCAGAGGATATCTCTCCTTCTTTGCCCGATTACCCAGACGTAGAAATCAGAAGCAATAATTTATTGCCGGGAGCAGCTGCCCATGCAGTGCTCAGCCTCTTCTCCATTTCAAGGTTCATCAAAGCTTGATTCGCTGAGTCTATTTTATAGAAGATGAGCACTGGTAGAGTTATAGTGATCTGAAATCCTGAGCTGAGACCTCAGATGCCTGTGCACAGAAGAAAGGCCTTGCAGATTCTGCATGCTGTGTTATTAGTGTGTGTAGCATTGCCGTATCGCACAGGCCCTCAAGGCCATCTCAGCCACAAATGTGCACAGTTATCCAGTGACCTCTCCTGTGGCTTTGACAGGATGTTCTGACAGAAGCAACTTAAGGGGAAAGGGGCTTCGTTTGCTCATGGTTCCAGGATAATGCATAGTGTGTCCGGAAAGTTACAGCAATGGAAGCTTGGCAGAGAATGAAGAGAGCTGGTGCAGAGCTCACGTTTTTTAATAGACAGTCTAGAATCTCACTCTAGGGGATGGTACCGGCCAGAGTAGGCAGGTCTGTCCACCTCAACTAACCTCAGACTATCTCCTGCAACTCTATCCAGTGATTGCATCAAATTGAAATTTAAGTTTGACTGTCCTATTAGTGCAGTACAAAAGCATCTTGTTAGATACCGAATCCTTTTTATGTTACTTTTTTCTTTTTTTAGAAAAAGTTTTCATTTAGTTATTTTCTATATAATTTGTTTTGCCTGCATGTGCGTATATGCATCATATTGCATACCTGCTGCCCACAGTGGCCAAAAGAGGGCGCCAGATTTCTGGAACTGGAATTATACAGAGTTGTGAGTCACCAGGTGGGTGCTGGGAACCAAACCTGGGTCCTCTGCGAGAGCAACAAGTGTTCACAACTACTGAGCCATCTGCCCTGCCCTACTCACTGATCTTTTTTAAAGACTCACTTTTCTTTTTGAGATAGGTTTTCCATGTATTTTTTGTTCACATTAGCATAAGATTGGAGTCTATACTCTAAACTTAACCTTCCTGAGGAATTTCCTCATCTGTAGGGTGGAAAAGTTGACCTTAATACTCATCCTCCAAATGTATTTTAGTCTGCGAGAAGTGAAATCAGGTGAGGTGTAATTACACAATGCACGATAGTCTTCTGGGTACTTGCCAATCACAAGTGCCTTGCCCACCTGCAAACCAGAACAGCTGAGAACAAGTGTCCTGTCCAGGGCCAGAGCAAGGGCGGACTCGAGATCAAAGCTGACCATTGAGCCTTAAGTGAGGTCATTGTGATCATTTGGAGTGTTTAGCTGGGCCAAAGACAGTGATTACCAAGGTAAATTCAGTCATGCCTCCCTGGCCAGCCAGTGTTTCTAGACTTCTGTTAGCCTTGTCTCCTTCAGGAGCCATAGCATTTTCTCAGGCAGAGTTCTAATCCCTTCCGCTTAGGAAACTGGGACTCAGCTGAGCAATGTGAAACAAGAGTCACAGACACAGCCTCAACTGGACTCAAGATTCCTGACTTCTGTTATAGACGGTACTCTCAACAGGTCTCTGAGGGCTCAGCTCTGCGGCTCTCCGTACAACTTTGACTAGAATATTCTGACTTTACTAGCCTCAGATGCCAGAATGCTAATAAAACTTCATAGTGGCGTAAAAGTTCCTTGAATGTTTAGAAAAACATTGCACTCTATCGTGGAGTCTTTGCAGCATGGTTCATCTGAAACTGAATGACAGCCTATTGGCCTGAGACGAGTTACAAATAATACTAATTTATCCCATCATTATCCCAGTCTCTGTGGGCTGGAATCTAGGGCAGTCTTATGGTTCTCATTTGTGAGCGATGGAATAGAAAATAAAAGGTGGTCCTTGCTCAGGATGTAGATAGGTATGGGATGTAGCAATTGCATGATCACCCAATATTCATACTTGGTCACATCCCAAAATTGATGTAGGCTTTTTTGCTCATTTTGTTTTGCTTTTTGCGACACGGGAGAAACTAAGGAATTTATTTCCTTGGAGTTTTGCCTAAGCTGTATCTGTGACTTTGTAAAAGAAGGGATTTCTCAGATGGCTTTGTTCTGGAGGGAAAAAAAAAATCACAAAAGTGGCTGTCACTTTTGTGGATAGTCTGTAAATGTCAGAGTCTCGGTAGTGTTGTTTCTCCGGGGAACCCTGGCCTAGATTTTTCCCAACACCACTTAGAAAAATCTCTAAATGATTGTCTAAAGTGCCAGTTGGTGAGGTCCTAGGGTGTTCCTGAAAGCAGGCACTCAGGCTCCCTGCCCATCAGCCCTCAGTGCTACCCACCGGGGACTGTTTCTCGAGGTGCGGTGTGGAATGTGATCTGTTTGTCCTCCAATAGGGAACTAAAGGAGAAGATCCAGCCAGAAATCTTAGAGCTGATCAAACAGCAGCGCCTGAACCGCCTCGTGGAAGGAACCTGCTTTAGGAAACTCAACGCTCGTCGGAGACAAGGTACAGTTTAGGAGCTCTCTACACCGGCTGAGACGATGGTAGCTTGCTTCTGGGTAATCAAAAGGCATGGTGTCATTTAAGGACAGCATTGTGCTTGAGATGAGATGGCAGTCTAGGTAAGACCATGTTTCCTGTGTAGGGAAAACCAAAGTGCAAAATGACCGAAAAAGCCGTGGATCCAAAAATCTGTTCTTTGCCATTTGGTGCTACAAGGCTACTTACTAGTGGTGGTGCTAACAATTGCTAAAACATGCTGTGACTCACGCATGCGCAAGCCTCTTCACTCAGTGTGGTACTTACATAGCCACGGGCCACATACCAGTCAACAGGGGACCACACATACAATGGTGGTCACTAGGAGCTTTGTGTTTAAATGCACTGTATGACAGTCACATGACAGAATCACCTAAGGATGTGTTTCTCAGAACCTAGCCCCGTTGTTGAAGCACACATAACTGGATAGATGCAATTCATCCTCAGAGTAGCCCTGTGAAAATCCGTAGTGTAATGGTGCACATTTGCACACAGCGAAACAGGGATCCTGCTGATTGAGTGACTTGTAAAGTTACAGAAGAGCTAGGGTTCATCCTCTAAAGCTTCAGGCCCTTTTTTCTAGTTTTTGTTTTTGAAGTGTCTGTTTTGTTTGTCCTTATTGTACTTGTGTCTACGTGATTTATGTCTGGGTGAAGGTATACAGACTCCAGGGTGCACAAATGGAGGTCTGAGGACGACTTTTGTGGGCCTTTTCTGCCTCTGTAAACTCGAGGAATTAAGCTCAAGTCATTAGGCCTGCACAAGAAGTGCCTTTACCCACCTTACCCACATCTTTCCTTTGCATGACGCTCTTGCACCATCAGGCAAACTGTCTGCTTGGATCTTGGTCCTTGCAGTATAGGTGGGCCATACTCTCAAACTTTCCATATCGATGCTGTTCCCACTGGGGGTGTAAGCAGCGGCAATTTAAAATGATAGAATCCATTTTCAGAATCTGTCAAGATGGATTTCTGAATTGTCTCTGATTTCTGACCTCAAAATGTCAAATCAAAAAAAGGTGCCGGTAGGCCAGGCACACTAGACAGGAACCAGCCCCAGCTGTTTCTCTGCTTTGATTGTTTCTTGCTCTCTTGACACGATTCTGATTGCACCAAGTATTCATGTCATACTGTCCTAGAAGAAAACAGCTGGGAAGCAGAACCGAGAAATAAGGTTTGGGAAAGGGGAAAGAAATTGAGAAAGAGCTGGGCAAAAGCAGAGGCCTTAACAATTGTGCTAAGAAGAGATATTAGTTATGAGCTGGGGCGACTCTGGCAAGTAGTTCTGAAACCCAGCGGATGCCTTGCTCGGATGCAGAGCTCACCCACTAATGATAGCAATCAATTTGTGTTTGTGCCCATCTCTCTGGCCATTTGCTTTAACTGCTCTGTGCTGAGTGTTCAATAATTGAAATATGTTGATGCTACCACTGAAAATTACACTGAAGGATTTCAAAAAGCAGAACTTTCTGGAGTAAGTGTGGGGCTTTTGAAGAGCTTTGTATAGGCCTGGGAAGAGCATGGGGACAGACCAGTGAAAGGCTAAGCTGGCCCTGCTACTGAGAAAGGTTTGCATTATAAAAGAAGAGAGAACTCATCCCCTAATTTAGCCCTTGAAGAATGAGCCCAGGCCCATTGCTCTTTGCATTCCTGTGCTGGGCATCAGGTCCAAGTGAGACATTATTCCACAGTGCTAAGAATTGGCTGCCCTTGTCCGGGTATACAGACTTGAGCAGTTTTTAATCAATATCCATTCCTGTTTCCTAACACTTTTTCAAGAAATAAAGGTAGTTGGGGATGTAGCTCCTAGAAACAGAGCCAATAGGAGCACTGTTCATCTGAAAAATTGTGTTAAAAAAGGAAAATAAAAACAGGTCTGGGAGAGAGAAGACTTGGTCATGAACTTCTTGACTCTGCAACTGGCCACCTTAGTGTCTTCAGGCAGATACCCGATGTCTGAAAACCCTACAAGATAGGAGTATAGCACTCCTGGATCTGAGAACTATTAGCCAAATAGTTAGCTGTATGACCTCATTTCCTTACTGTCTCTGGAAGATCAATATCCAAGATATATGGCCCATAAACATAGCTTAAAACATTTTCTTCTTGTACTTGAGATTGGGCAAAAGACACAGAAGAATGGGGAAAGCACACAGAGACACTTCAGAGCTGACTCCTAGTACTTACAATTACACTGAACCTTCCAGTCCACTACACTATCTGATATCTCCTTCTAGGCTGAAATAGATTGACTCTACCAGAATCTTTGTATCTAGATAAGATGATTACAGACTCTTGTTTTGAAAATATTTAGCCCTCATTGTTGATGAACTTCATAATGAACAAAAGCATTAGTATCTAGCTGATGAGTTAGTAAAGATCTGGACAGAGTGGGGCCAGTTTAATACAAGATTCTCCTTCCGCAAGCAGAAAAGCCTGTTGGTTAACTCTGGTTACCGGCCCTCTGCCTGCACTGCTTGAGTTTCGCATCGCTTCATCAAAACACTGTGTTTAATTTCGTACAGCCTAGCAGTAGGCTGGGGCTTGAAATTGATCACTACTACTATACGTATATGCGTGCTCAAGGAGACTTCATCACAGATTAGGTCTGGTATGCCCTGTGTAGGAACCACGGCCTTCCAACTTAGCTCACAGTGAAAAGGACACAGATGAGCAGATTGAGTCGTCGGTTTACAGGAGAAAATGTGAGAGCTTCCAGGCTCATAGAACTGGAAGGGGAGGAGTTTGAAAAGCATCTTTTCCTTTGCTACATTTTGTCAGAATGCCTCCCAGTTGCATCCCGTCCCTTCCTGTCTCATCCACAAGTGATGCAAACATGACAAGTCTGGGCCACAGTAGCCCTAAGAGGCAGAAAATTATGTGATGCATATTAACCTGGCTTAAGTTCCAGCCTCCCCACTCCAGACTGGGTAGCTGTTGGCAACCTACTCATCAACCTGGACTCTTTTCGGCTTCTGTCACACAAGGATGGTACAATTTCCTACCTTAAGTAGGTAGTTGCAAAGATTAAGTAAACTACTGTTAGCACTTAGTATGATGGTTATCAAACATTCAAGCCTACTCTTATGACTATTTGGGGTTATAGTTACTTGGCATATAATTTTTAAACCCAAGAAGCACACTATTGGATGTCTCAAGCCTGCTTCTTGCCTTCTGTTCTGACTACATGTAAGGCTCCATCATGCTTTTCGTCCCACGTACTCCTGACGAGGACAGCAAGATACGTTCTTAAAGGTTGTCTATGGTACAGCTATAATTGCTTCGTGACCCTGCAATCTTCAACATTTCCCTCTACTTTCTACATTTTAGAAATTCAGTTTTCTCAGAATTGCTTGCATTGAGTAGTCTTGATAACCCCAGGGCTAAACACTATAGAATCATTTCAAGATATGATACATAAAGCTTGCTTCTCACTAAAGATGCTTGGTAGCGTCCTGTCTTAAAGTGCCAACGTGACCAAGTTATCTCAGAATTCTGTGCTGGATATAACGTGTCTTCCCACTTCAGTCAGCAAGGCCTTTGTACCTCACATAAGTCTTGTAACCCTGTCAGAACCCCGGAGCCAAATGCAGCAACCCCGGAGTCAGGTGCAGCATATCTATCAACCCTTCCGGGCAGCAAGCTGCTTCTTCCTTTTGTTTTAATTACATTTCTCTTTTGGTGTTTCATGAAACCTAATTAGCTCATTTTAGCAAAAAGTCAGGTATTTTCACTTGGATAAGAGAAAACAGTTGAACTTTGAGAAAGGCGTTCAGTGGATCCAAATAATGAGTGAGCACCATTTCAAACAGGAGGAAGGGCAAATAGGGGGTGGAAAGGGTCGTGTTCTCTGACTGAACGAGTGCTGGTAACCAGCCCTGTGCAGAATGCAGGATGGATCCTTCATGTATGTTTTACTCATGAAGTTAAGGATATCACTTTGTAGGTGAAGAACAGAGCTTTCCATTTATTATTTTGCTCAAGGCTATCACAGAGTGCCAGGACCAGGTGTGTAACCAAGGTCTGTGTGATCAGCAAGTATCCATTTGTACCAGCAATCATGCTGAGTGTGTGAGAGTTCTGGACTCACAAACTAGGAAAGGACACACTGCCTCTAAGAGGCAGCATTCAAACTCAACACACAGTCTCTGGTTTTGAAGAATATCCAGTGGGTTGGGAAGTGTTTGAACGGCAGAACAGCTTTCACGGTCTCCCACAGCTGCCATTCCCTTCCCTGAACCAACAGAGAAACTTGTGGATCTCATCACTGGGAAAGTGACTTTTCCCTTTCCAGGCACTGTCCAGATCTGTTCTTTGATTCAGAAAGGCTGAATCTCAGGCAAGATATGGACTTTCTGAACACCATGATGATTTTGTTTAGTTTAGGGCATCTTAGACCAAACATTCTGTTAGCAGTGCTCTGACAGTATAGGTTAGGAAATGCTTCCCCACTTCTGTGACAAGGGATTCACAGAGCCTGCTACCAGACACGACTCTGCACCCAACACCAGAAGTTCCCTGTTTCCTAAGCAGAGTTGATCAGACTCAATTCCTACCCCTCATGTAACATCCAGCATGTCACACCAGTAGTAGTAACTATTACTCAATGACCTGGTCTCCTCTAAAGATCAAGAGGCATGATTACCGTACCTGGGGCTAAGTTGGCAAATGAAGAAAAAAAATTTAATTTGTTTTCTTATTGGATAAAACAGATGCCCATCACTTTGACAGTTGGACAGTGTTAAAATAATTTCACTTCTCAGTGATTTTTAGCTTATAGCAATCCATGTAGCATCATAAATAGCTTTAATCAGACCTTCTTCCCAGGTTTATGGGCTGTCCTAGTGAGCATTTACTGTCAGCCTGACATAGCCTACAGAAATTTGAGAGTAAAGTCTCACCTGGAGAATCACCTAGATCAAACTGACCCATGGGCATCTCTGTTGTCTGTGGAGGACTGTCCTGATT